CAACCTGCAGCGCAGCATACGTCCCAGTTCGGTCAGAGCGTTCTCGTCGCCCTTACCATCAGCAGCTTCTCAACAACGCATACCGACCTGATGGTTGACCACGACACTCACGGCTCACCATTGACCGCAGACCCCTCTTCCCAGCTGGCCAGCTCAGACCCACTTAACTCCGCACCTGGGCCAGTTCAGCACTCACCCACAAGCGAGCAAGAAACAGCAACCAGCAACTAGGCCTACCAAGGCCTTAGCCGACAGGTGAGCCGTCTCGGCTCTCCCGGCGATCTCAAGCACACCAGCCATACCTGTGGGCACTCACACCCACACCCAAAAGCTCCTTAAAGAGATGATGGACACCAGCCTATGGCGGATACCAATCCATTGCCATAGGGTCACACCAATAAAGCCTCAGGCCAAAACCCCATTAATTCACCACCTACACACCCCAATCTTCACAAACATAATGACACAAACAAACAATGACATGTAAGCATATGCCCAACGTTTTATTTAAGCTTTAAAGCTATATGGCTTCATCTTTGTTAAACAATAGACTCTTTGGTGACAAAACTGTTTCCCTACTTTCCTTAGTGTTTGGAAAAAGCAGTGTAAACATTTGTTATAAAGTTAATCTTAAGACATCTTAAATCTTTGAAAGCTAACCAATTGTGTAATGTCTACCAACCTTTCACAAAACATCTATGGTACACATAACATGTTCACAATTGAATTGTGTTAAATATATACATCAATAATTACATACTGCTCCTAAGAAAATTGGCCAAATATGCAGCCAAACTGAATTCAACTTGCTAATTCTATTACTTAGATTTTCTTTTTCAAAAAAGGCTCATATTTCATGGTGGCCTACATTTTATTTGTAAAGACCTTAGATATTTATTTGATTTATATATGAAATACAATGAGATTCAAGAGCTAAAATTATTCATCATCAAATAATAGATATATAAGCATACACATAGGAATCCCCGATCATGAGGCAATTCAATGAGGTAACAAACAAATTAAGCAGCCATACTCTCACATTATTTCCTATCCAATATACATTCAAGCTACAGCCAAACCAGAAAGCTTGCATGAGGCAGCTATTTAATCATTAAATATACCAACATGGTCTTGAAGACATCAAAGAAATAATGTTGAATAAGTTAAAATAAAACCTATTATCTTTATGATGGCTAGATGATAAAAAAAAATGTACCACTTGACAGACTAAACACAAATATGAATCCCATGCATGTACTCCCTCCCCCTCCCATCATGTTTGTCAGAGTAAGTGAAGATTGCTGTCAGGTTAAAATTATGCTATGCAACACCTCTGTTACATGCACTCTTTTCTATAATATACTATGCATGCACAAATACCCTGATTTATCAGTTGTGTGACCAAGTATAAGTAGTTGCGAGGAAACTAGATAAGACAGATTGATTCCACCCCTTGTTATTTCTTGATGCAACAGAGATAATCATCATGGGATGATTTGACTTTTTCCATAATTAGTGGTAGATGCACCTAAATGTAGTAATGCTTTTTCAAACCAGTACAAATAGCATTACCTAAGAACATTACATTAGTGAATGTCAAAGGACTCTCTGATTGCATGGATATGTACTATAACACTTCATAAACATTCATGAAAAGTAACACATTTCATCATAATACTATGTCACATGTTAACATGCATGTTCTAATGAAATATACAATCCTTTGATATCATCTTACATTATCATGGCACCATTGAGGTCTTGGAGGAGTGTGGCGCAAACACTCATCCCCCCACCTTCCCATGAATAAACCTTTCCTGTGCCATTCTTTCACATCAATGTATAAACACAAGTTTTTAAATGGTAAAAATACAACTAAATAAATGAAGGGAATAAGCTAGTCTGTTTTGGATGCCATATTGTGTGTACATGTATCCAGAGTACAAGACTAACAACTCAGCTGTTACAGGTTCATATTCCTCCTCTCCCTCCCTCCCTTTCCAACATTCTTTACCTAGTAGAAAATAAAATTTGTATAAAACTAACATATTGACCGAGTTTCCTTTTATATAAAAAATTAAACACTTGAATTAAAAAAGTATAAGCATTTTAAAATATTTTATGTCTATCAACAATTTTTCTATAAATCACAATACACTTTCCACTGAGTAAAGATTGTTTCCTTTTCCATTTTTTTTGCAGCAAAATGTTACTCCCATGTTGGATGGGTTTTGATGTACAGAGGACTTTTTCAATTACAACACAAAATAAATATTCACATTCATCTTTTTCCACTTGCTTTCACATCCTCAATTTAAAAAATCTAGAAAACCTTACCTGTGAAACTGGGAGGCCATCATCCAATTCAAATCCCATTTAGCATTCAACGTACAAGCAGCTGGCACCTTGTGGCTGACTGCCCACTGTCTGGAAAAATATTCAGCATATTAAAATTCACATTAAACATAATAATTAATTGAAGGCAATGCTTTAAACACTCTAAATGATATCCCTAAACTATCCTCTGTTTATAGATATGACCAGATAAGAGTAGGTATTTAATAACACTAGCTTACCTTCTTTTCATCTTCATAAAAAGCACACACACTTCCACAGCTTTGGTTCTCAGGATACTAACTACATCTGCCATCCATCTGTAAAAGCAAAAGAGGTATTTCTCATACTGGGACAAGACTTGACAAATTATAATTACCACTTTGGTATCCTATTCTCAGAATTATATTTTGAAAGTCTAAAACATCTATTTTCAAACTATCAACCTGCATTGTACTAATAGTAATACTATTGCATTTCCATTCCTCCAATGCATTCACACATACCTCTAAATTGTCTTTGAGTACTGCCTTGTCTTAGAATCTAATACTCCAAATCAGATATCAGTTTGCCATCTTGGAGAGTTGTAAAATAAATCTAGAAAAGTTTGTATAACTCATCTTGAAAAGGCACTGCAAGCCCATGGTTATTTGTCTGTCGTCCATCATTATTTGCCCTTGAAGATGGCCTTGACCTCCAAGCCTCCATCGTCTCTGAAAAAATATCAAATTCCATTAAATACATTCTTTAATTGATTCTACATTCAAATGTTAATTTCAAATACCATATTCTTTGGCATGCTTCTACATTATACCAATATTAGCATATATAAAAAAAATATATATTTCTTAAACACACATTTTTAGATTATTACCTTCTAGCAAGCTCTTTCAATGAAGTCATTGCACCGTTATCATGCCATCTGCATTTCTTTCTCCAGTATCATTTTCCTCTGAATCTGTCAATTAAATGTTTTTTATAAGTTTAAGAGAAACCAATACAAGTGGTAACAACCTGTATTGGCCTTTAATATAACTCAACATTCTTACTCTTCCTCTGCCCTTTCATTCAATGCATGGATAATAATTACCTAAACAAACAATATTCAAAAGATTTCTTATGTTATTTTTTGTCTAACTGGCATATCTGACAAATTTTAAATTGCATGTAATTATATTACCTTGCTGGAAACAACACTTTGCCAATCCCACATCCTATCCTCTGTTTAATTGCAGTGTGGCTGATACTCCATGATTATTTTTTTTCCCCTTCTGTTCCTCCAGGCCTGCCAGCAGGAATACCTTCATTAAATATGCAAGAAATAAGAAAAGGCTTATAATCTTTATATAAGGGATTTAGTGTAGGTGCAAACTAAACCATTTTCTTTTATCAAGCTACTTCTTAAAATATTTAATTTTGGCTAATTGGTTTTGGTGCTTAACTAATTTGGCACTAACAATCAACTACAGTTTCAAATATTCACCTGTGAAAGAAAAAGCCATGTCCTGTTCTGTAACTTGAAGAATCATGTATTATAGCAGCGGTAGACTTCTTAGGGCCTTCAATCTGTTAATTAATTGTTAGATATAATCCACAGGTTTCATTAATTTATTCAAGGATAAAATATCTTGAAATGACAACCAAATTAAATCGTTTCATTATTTACATTCTATCTGCCATACTGTAGCACTATACCTCTGTTGCCTATCAATATACTCATCTGAAAGAAAATATCATTTACCAACAAATTATATTTTTAAAATAGTCAAATATTTAATTGCTTTTAAAAATGACATAGCTTGTCAGTCAATTACACAACAGAAAACAATGACTCTTACTTGCACTTACTTCCACCTATTACATCATGTACATTTGCCTTCTCACTCCATGAATCCCTTCAGTCAGTCATACACTATTTGTTGTCTGAAAAAATATTAAATAAAAGTATATATATTTACTTGACTGGTATGCGTTTCAATAATTATCATACCATAGACAATCTTTAACAAATATTTTTCTTTATTAAGACAACAATGTCCATTTTACGGCTCTGCACTCACAATGCTATAATATAAATTCTGCTAATTCTTCCCTCGCATCTTATTTTCAATAATAAGTAATCACTACAATCACAGGATATATGCATACACTCATATTCCAGGCTGACAATACAGCCACATCTATTGGTACATAGGAGTGGGGGTTACAAAGACTATGCAATAATTTATAAAAATATAAAGTATTGCCATAATACATCTTTGTAAGCATGTTCAGATGTCACATTTGTCAAGTTTTTAAATTAGAATTTTAGGCCTTATTCACATCTTCCTTGCAAGATTCAATCACATTAATACAAATCAGATGGTTATCTTTTATATAATGTTACATTCATGTTGCTTCTTTGCCCCATCCTTATTTTTACCTGTGAAAATGCTGCCTTGTCTTAACAACTAAGTGCTAAATCATAATAACACTTAAACCTCTGGGTAGAGTGAAGCACAATACTGTTATCTTCACAATTAAGGACTTTAATTTGATATACATAAATGTGAAAAGTGTCAATACATTATCAAATTGCATTTATTCATATTTACCTGTTAAAAAGAAAATCAAGTGATCCTGTTCCCCCTCCACTCCAACTGTAGTATGGCTGCCACTCCGCTGACTCAGCCGCTTTCCTTTTCTCCTTCAGCCTTGGCAGGAGGGAGAAGAAAAAAATAGTGTGTGACTACTTTATAGAGTTCAAATGTGTCATTCTAACAGACATTTTAAAGATTACAATTTTCTTTTCTTTCATTAGCTATTACCAAACACCTTTTAACAATATTTACCTGTTTAAGAACACCAATTTTCCTTTTCTGTGTCTGGTATAATTGCCAGCATATGGAATGAACACTTCACAGCTTTCAACCTGTTGAATTGCAACTAAATTCAATAGATTTCCCATAATTACACAGACAAAAATTATTTTTAATAAAACTATTTGGAAAACTTGAAACAAGCAAGTTTATCAATATTCACTGTGGTGCATTTATGACTAATACTGTGGCTAACTTATTTCCCGTCATTCAAAAGAAAGCACTTGTACTTTATATCATAGTCAAATCCTTCCCTAAGTTTAATTGTAATTCCTTTTATGGGAGGTTTTACCTGAGAATAAGGTAAAAGTAACACCTGTTCTCCAAAAGGATAATGAATTACAAAAAAAACACTGAAGAATACCAATAATAATCTGGGAGAGGGAGCTCTAATATAATATAGCCAATCGACATTTATATCATATGTTTTTTTTTTTTTATTATTATTATTACTATTGTTAATAAATTTCATGGACAATCTTCTCATTTCAAATGTGTAAACTGTATAGAATTAGCATTCCATATATTGTGTATTATATCTTAAATATTAATATACAAATAGCAATGTTTCATTAAACTTTTTTTTTTTTCTAATAGGGCTTATATTCTTATACTTTAATGAAAAATAGTGATGACAAAATCAATTTCATACTCGTTGCAACCCTTGGATACAGGACTAATTTTTCTCGCACAATTAAATCTATTACTTCTTTTTAACAAAGTAAACAAAAATTAGTCAACTAATTCACTGCAGTTCTAGAAAAATTAACTAACCTGTCTCATGCAGGGCACACTACACGTTCCCTCTCCTCTTCTTTCTTACCCAGACTTGTAAACAGCCTTTCAGGAACTCTTGCATAATGATCATACATTCTATTAATTAAAAAAATAATTATACAGTGTTTATGGACTACTTAAAATTTATATAAACAAATTACAAAACTTCTAAATGAAGATTTAAAATTTATCTTCTATGGATTAGCATCATCCTCAACCCAAGTCCAGTATCTAATCAAAATAAAGTCACATATCTGAAGACCTTTCTTACCTATTTACATGTCCAGCCAATCTGTTATATAATAATATTATAAATTATATTATAATAATAATAAAGATTATATATATTACCTGCACTTGTTACATATATAATTATGACATTTTTACTCCATACCCTCTTCACAGCCAACACCTATGATTTCTGAAACATAAAAATTTATATTTTATCATTATAAGTTATGTAACATACCTTACAGATCAATGCAATACAGACCAGACAACTATTCAGGAGGTTCATAATATTCATACTCACCTTATTTAAAAAATATAATATCAACTTTGTAGCTCTGCTCTTAAATCTACAAAATATGAAATCTATTAATTATTTCATATTTTGTATTCAACACCAAATCTTTCTGCAAAGGGAATAATCATGTATTAAGAAATTGGGTCAAATGCAAAACAGCCATAGTTAATGGGGCATGGAGGGGTGGGGGTGGGGTAGGTGGTGGGGTGGGGTAGGGTTAAACTAAATTTCCTACATATTAGTAACATTTAGTACAGTTTAGTAAAGTTTAATATAATAAGGTTATTCAATCACCTACTAAACAATCACAAACTATTATACTTGGGAGTACATGCAAATACAGTTAGTAATGCTACAATACATTTCTAAGCACAAAAAGCTGAAAATGAAGTGTATTCACATCAATATTAAATGCATAAACATAATGTAAACCACAGAATAAAGATTATCAATACCATACAATACAAGGTCATGACATCACATGTATCCACATATGAAATACAATTATACATTTCACTGCTTACCACAATTATATTTAAAATACTTCAAAAAAGATCATTACACATACTTAGGTCAAACACCACATACACGGATGGGATAAATCAACTGTAGATCCCCTCCTTAGAAGACGGGAGAAAATTATGAAATAAAATTTGCCCTCATCTTTACATCCACAAGACATCGGGATCTGCTTCCTGACATGCATCAAGAAAACAGCTCTGTGAGGATGTCAAGTCATGTGAACCAGTGTCATATCCAGCTATTAAAAGTCAACTATACCATATTGTATTAAAGACACTTAAACGCCAAGTTTGTAGAGCAACATTTTTACTTTTGTTAATATATAACTTTACTTTAATTATTATAATAAAGTCATATCAGATAACCAGCCATATATACAACTTAATATCTTGCTAAAACCCTCACTTTAGAAAAAAAAAAAACACTGCAAAGTCAATCATATCAATAATTAATTTTAATCTGTCTGCTAATTAATCAACTGTTCAGAGAACAAAATTCATACAAAAAGGAAATCATTACACTTTCCCATGTAAAGCCACAATATTGTTCTGAAATAATAAATATTGATTAAACATTCCATTGCTTTATCCATTTTACTAATCACCTTCTCTCAATCAGAAAAACATTTGAGCTATTGGAAGTCAAGAGAACAATACCAATAATAATCTGAAAATCAGATTTCTCACTTTTATTACTTGAATCCAGGAAGAAAGTATAACCTATACGTTTTTTCATTTCACATCATTCATTCTATAATCGCCAAAGTTTCACTTTCATAGTATTTCATATAAACATTTTTAAGCTTCATACTTTCTACTTACCTCCCTCCACTGGAATTTATTTCTTGCCTTTCCAGCACTGGATCTCTTTCCTTCGCTTTATTTGTCACTGCATCTGTCAAAGCACTGCCTTGGTTGAAGTACTCGATCATTAATGTGATTTATCCTTTCACACACTTATCTAGCTAAATGCTTCATGTCAAAGGTTCATTTAAAAATTATCTTTGCATATCGAGTCCTTAGGTCATGTTCATATGCAGAAATGTGTATCCTACTAAAAGATGGTTTATTTATCTTTACCTGTTAAAAAGGGGCAAAGCATGTCATTAATTCCTCAAGTATGCATGATATTGAATAATCTTTACAAGGTTCATCAATTACATTAAACAAGGTCCTAATATATTGATAATACTTAAAAAGTAATGTATCATGGCACTTCAATTGTAATTTCAATTTTGCAATATTCATAATATTCCCCCAAAGAACTTTAGTTTAAATATTTGTTCATTTGACAAAGATGGATTTATAAGATATTAAGCTTGCAATCTATTGTACTGGAACCTCTTGAAAGGTCTAACTTTATACAGTTCACATTTACAAATCATACTATAACTTAACTTTTCTAAGAGTAAATTGCTAATGCATTACTTTACAAAAAAAAAATAATCTTTATTTCAAAATATTAGGATCTCAATTACATAAAAGCAGTTTCACTGTACTTTCACTGCTGCATTTCAATTCCTACACTGCCTTTACTCATTCCTCTTCACTGTATTGCTTTGTCTTAGAATCAATTTAAACCAAATATCAGTGATGCCTCCTTAAAAAATATTACATATTCTATATTTTTGTCCTTTGCCATAATTACTTATGGAATAGCAAAATGGGGCCACAGGTTATCCCTTCGTCTCCAGTCGCTGTTCGTCCTTGAAGATGGACTAGGCTCCTCCAGCATATGCTACCTGCTTGTCTGAAAAAAAAAATTACCTTCATTCATAAATTATTCAGATCATAGGCCCATATTTCAATATAAAATACATTCCCTTAATGCTGTTAGGATGCTTGCTCTTTATCACAACTATTGAAGTATACATTATATTAAGAACTACATTTCACATTCTTAACATCAATCAAGTTCCTTTGAAGAAAGTATCATACACCTGTATCATACCTACAATTCTTTCTTTGTCACTAATCTTCACAGAATCTGTTTTTGCTACAAAAAAAATATATGGTCTCATTCTTCCTCATATGTAAACAAAATAACATTTATTGACTGGAATGTGACCTTTGGTCTAACAGCCAAACAGGGCCACAAAAGGTAATTTAAGCAATTTTCTTTACCTGTTTAAGGAAAGAGACAATCAAGCAATCTTTCCTCTCTTGCTGCAGTGAGGCTTTCACTCCTTGGACTTCCCATTTCCCTCCAACTCTGACAGGAGAAAAAGCTTTTTACTCAAAACAATGGTATTTATAACACTATAATTTCTACAAAAAAATATGTATTTTTTTAAATCTGGATAGACATAAGGATCACAATATTCATTTCTAATTTGTGCCTATCAAACAATCTACTCTTATTATATCTACATGTGAATACACATGAAATATCATGTTCTGTACCTGCTGCATTTGTGTTGTCTTAAGAGTAATAGAGACCAAGATCTTGGATACATTGGAAGTAAACATTTACTGACTAAGCAGTTCACATATAGAATGTTATTTACATATCTAGGTGTATATATAACAAGAAATGTATAATACTGACAGTCCTAAAAAGGGAAAACGGCTGTTGCTACGCTTACAAAGAACTGGTGCTCACTCTTTAGTTAAAATGCACTGCCAGATTGCCACACAAGAATGGTGCTCATGAACTGATATACACATCCTTCTGGCTAACATTCTTGATGATTTCTCCAACCTTTGGTATACACTAAAAATCATATGTATTCTCTTTCTATGACTGTCAGCTTTTATTTGTGCTCTAATAATTTTTACCTGTGCGAGAAATGTAAAGCTATACACTTCCTCCTCTGCCGGACAGCCCTGATTTTATTTCATGTGGGTCTCCATGCATCTGTCCGTTTTGATAGAATGAAGATAAATTTTCTTATTTTTTTTTTATTCTATCATTCAATTTATCATACACCAAACTATGAACTTCATAAACCAAAAGTTACAAAATACACAATAAAACCTGCTACCTTTGCAGAACTCAACTCAGTCCTTTGCAAACAGCCTTACAGATTATTTACTTTCCATGCATTAGCGCCACCTTCAACCTCGTTTGTCTCTACCAAACTCATCTGCAAGACATTTTTAATACAATCTTATGTAATCCAAATACAATGACTCATTTTTCACTTTCTTCATGACATTTCTTAACAGTCAACAACAATAATTAAGAAAATTGAAGTTTTTACTTACCTATATTACACAATGTATAATTCTATCATTCTTACTCCTTGAATTCCTTTAAATCCTACAATTCTCACTGCCTGGTAGAAATAAAATTTACTTATAAATAACAGCTTATACAATTTAGAGATCATGCACCACTTTTCCAGGATTCAGAATATCTATCTAATACTTACATTATCAATAGAAATTCATATGTCCCTCTTGCTGCTCTCCACTTCCCCTACTAGTCTAAAAAATATATATTTCATTAATTCTTCACTTCAAAATTTGATGTTATAAATACCCACTGTATCAGTTATATTCATATCAATAAAAAATACCATACAGGACTTAGCTTCATCAATAACAAAATATGTTGAGTTGTATAGGAGTAGCGATTCAATACTACAGAAACAGAAAGAACCAGTTCACAAAACCTTCAGCCCCATCCAGGTTAGTCAACTTTGGCTAACAACTATGAGAAATATCTGCTTTAATACTTGTCTTCAATTAGCTAGAATAATCTGCACTTCTACAATAAAACCACACCTAAGTCTAGTTGCATTTATATAGCTTATTAATATAAAATAAATTGGTCCATGATAATTCCCAAGTTCATAGATTATAACTCAACATTTTATCTGATAATCAATTTTACTTCTGTAAATATATTCTTGCTCCTTCCATACATTTTTTATTATGCTGCAACAATATGGATTAGTGTTCTAAAGATATATAATGTATAAATATCTATTATATATATGCATAGATATGTATTCCTTGGCCACTTTACCTATGCAAAAGAAAATGATCCATCTCTTGGGTTGCTCTGCAGTTGTGTGTTGATGCATCTTTCAGGTCTCCATCCCTGTACAGATGGAAATTCATTGATATAGTGGTCCATTGTGATCATTACATTACAATTACAAATATTGGATTCTCAATCACATCATTTTCAATTACACTCTCTCAATAAAAAATAAATTTATTCAAGAGTACCTTAAGCGAATCTTCACAAAAGTGATTTGCAAGGGTTTGCCACATCACTTAACATCCCCCTGGAACTGGTTTGCAGGGACTAGTATGTGCACACATCTCGAACATTGTCCATGTTTGTGGTGGATGGTTCAAAGCAAAACAGACCCATTCTCATTAGTTAATACAGGCAACAAAAGAGCACAAATTAGAATAAATGTGAACAATCAAAAAGTATATATTTTTCCTTACTAAAAAAATTCATGCATATCCTGGGGATCTAGAATACAAAATCTAAACTGTTACTGGACTGCATCCTTAACAAATCATGTAAAATATATATATTTCAGTATGCCATCAGGTATCAGCACACATTTCTAAGAAAAGATAACTTTAATAATACATTGCTTATTTGACTGGAACACATTCGTAATTTCAATAATAATGATTAAAAATATGGGTACATAATCACTTATATTATTCAAATGCTTACATAATAGGAGAGCAATATTGAATGTTAAACTAATGCTGCTGTGAAAAATTATTGCTTTGTGAAATCATCAACACTTAAGTTGTGTTTAGTCAAGCAATGATTTTTTTATCCAACATTTTGGAGTCTTTCACAGTTTAAGCAACACCTTGTGCTCTTTGTTTAGAGAGTGGCCATACATACCTGAAAATACTAAAATGCACTGCTAGAGGCCCACCTTGTGTCCTGTGCTTTTTTCACTGGAGAAGCTGAACTGTTTAGATTTTACAATGGAAATGCATTATATATACATACATGTCTACATAATTTGGGTTATAACAAGCCCTATGAAAACCCATGAACATGGATATTATTTTTGAATACTGAATAGAGAAGAGAAAAAGAGAGAAAAAGAGAGAAAGAGAGAAAAGAGAGAAAAAGAGAGAAAAGAGAGAAAAGAGAGAAAAAGAGAGAGAAAAAGAGAAAAAAGAGAGAAATCTATGCACACTTTTATACCGATGAGTTTGAGAATGTTCAAGGAACAATAATCAAATAATCAAATGCCATACACAATTGCAACAAGCAAAATTCCACATAGGCGTACATGGGCGCTCATTCCCCTGGTGACTGCAACAAACCTTGAATTATGCCCCTTTGTGCAATGCACTTATCAGGCAAATTTTTAGGTACTTACAAAAATCTGGAAACTACAGGACTATACAATATGACTTCTTAAATCAATCAGCACTTTTGGATGATTACACTACATAAATATAGCCAAAAGACAAATTGGGCCAAATTGAGACAAATTGAGTCTTGGTATAAAAAGGTTGGCCAACCTCTTAAACTTATTTTTTTTTGATTTAGTAGATTTATAATAATCATTCTCAGTCATTTGGTTACTTTTAGATTAACAAAACAGGTTTGATTTCAATATTTTTCTCAAATGCAGATGAATTTTGCTTCTCTGCCATTTACAACAGTTTTTCTATCCCAAATACCAACACCAATACCATCACCACTAATACAACTACCACCACCACCCTAACCAATACCACCAATACCACCACCTTTGTCATCATTAAACTCATAACTTTGCTTCCAATATCAGCACTATTACCATTATTGCCAGTCTGTCATCATCAGTATTCCTATTACAAATAAAAAAACATTATCACTTATCTGCTTTACCATTACAATTCAGCTGTCATCATTAGCACAATTCAAAATTATTTTTTTTAGATACCTTATTTTCCTAAAATATAAACTTATATAAAGTTAGAAATATAACTAAAGTGTACCATGTTGAATAAGAAATTAGAATGCTTGCCCAGACTTTCTCAATACTATATTTTTTAATCATTGTTGTTTATTTGTCTTCATGTGTGCATTTATTTGATGAAATTGTGCCTATTTAAGAAATTACAGTAAACTGATTTTTGGAAATAACTCAAATCATTGGCCTTGTCATTGTTCAATTCAAATATTCAAGCATTACGTGCACACCTCATCTAAAAAAAAAAAAAAATTGTCATTTCTTTCACGCAGTTCACAGGTAGTGTTCCAAATTGTCACTGGTTACTAAACAATAACCTAATATTAAAGCATTTTAAATAAAGATTTTGAAAAGATTTGTCAATATTTTCCATCTCTAATCAATAAAAATATCCAGACTGACAATTTAACAATTAAAGTTTTATGAAATAAATTGGCAATAATGACAGTTTTAATCATTGTCTTGTTTGAGAATATAAGATTAATTGTTAATGTTCAAAAATGTTAAAGATACCATACCCTTCCAAGTTTTGGAACAAACTACTGTTGTAAATGGCCAAGGAGCAAAGTTCTGCCTTAATTACTTCAAGCCATGTTTTGAACAGAAAATCCTCAAAATCATGAAGAATCACATACCACATCATTCCTGCATCTTAAATCTGAAACACTTATGCACATGAATCATTTATACAGTTCTTACTTGGTTTTGTAACTTATTTGTATTAGGATATATACTAACTATAAATGTTGCCCACACCCCATTGCATTTTCTATTAAATATGGAGTGTCTTACAAGAAGGTATATATAATTTATCTAATATAGAATGTTTAAGATCCAATGTTACTATGATGGCAACAATTAACACAAAACAATTACAATAACATGTTACCAACCCTCCATGTCTAATTTGTTAAAGGATGACACAGATTAAGAAAATAAAAACGTGAAGTATCTCTACATATATATATATACATAAAATAACTAGAAAATTATTGAATATTTAAATAAAACATTCATTCGATAAAAGTGCATCATTCTATGCCAAAGACATTTTTAAATATACTGGGAATCAGGCCTCTTGATAAAATATTACTATTAGAATAAAGGATATCCCTGACCTCAAAAAATAATCAGAAAATAACCATGTGTAACATTTCCCACAAAACAAAGCTAAAACAAAAAATTATACTATATAACATACTATGAAAAACAAAACCCAAGACACTGCAACAAACTCAGCAGCTAAAACTCCTGACATTACTGAAATATATTAAAAAATATCTAAATACTAAAACCAACGCCAAATATAAAAATGGAACTATGGTCAGGCCCATAACCTACACAGTCTTTGTCTCTCTAACAGACAGTGCATAGTGCAGAGTACATCAAATCAGTGTAGTACAGCTCTTGCCAGACGTTAAATATGGATCAGATTGGGTGGTCTAGTTTGATAGCCATGGGTTATGTAAATGTACATAGTTCATGTTGAAAGGAAAAATTGGGTTATAAAATTTATAAAATAAGTACAAAATCTACAAACAGTGAAGTTGTGTGAACCAGGACATAAGAGCAAAAGGTAAGGGAGGCAAGAAGCAACCACAAATCCTACATGGTTAAGTGTTTCGTGCCTCAAGACACCTGCCAAGAGTACAGCTATGCGCGTTTAATGAGTAACAAGACAAGGAAAATTAAGCAATAGCTTGAATTAAGGCTCTTGAAGCCAAGTAGACAACCTGGTAGCAGAATGCCAGAAAATACATGAAAATAAAACTTGAAGGAATCAGTACATTTGTATAGGAACAATGTTAGAGTAATTAAAAGATGTTTATTACTATAAGTATACCTCATATGTCTATGATATACCTCATTATCTAAACTAAGTTATATTTTGTTAAGTTACCCATATAAAAGTATATTTTCTTTTATGTACGCCATCTTACAGCAAATTTTTATACTCGTGTAATGTAAACGACCCTACGTAGTGCCACGTAGATTCTCCTGAATACATAGAGTTAAGCACATCAACTCTGTTTTACTGATCCCCACAGAAAATCATATATGCATTGACACGTCAAACTCGCTTAATACACGCAGGGAAGATGAGTTCTCCCACTACGCCAACAGGTTATGGGTCCAGATTTAAGCAGTTTGATGGTGATGCAAACAAATATGATTTGTGGGAAGAGCACTTCCTCGGCGCGTTGGACATTTTGGAACTACATCTCGCACTCGATAAGTATGCTTCAGAACGTCCAGAAAGTTATAATCTGGATCGTGCCAAAAGGACAATCTACAGTCATTTAACTGGTTGTCTTGACAGAACGTCACTTGGCATGATAAAACGTGAAGCGAAAGGAGATGGCGTGAAGGCTTTGGCAGTACTACGAAAGTATTACCTAAGGGAATCAGACCAGAGGCTGTATGCTTTATTAATGTCATTCTTCACCAAAAGACTAGAGAATGGCGGCAGTGCTATGGAATATCTCATTTCTTGAGGAGACAGTAGCAGCACTCAGAGAAGCAGGTGAGAGCATCAGTGATCGTATCTTAGTGGTAATCACACTAAAAGGACTTCCACAGAGATACAAGAGTTTTATTGATGTAGCTAATCAACGCAACCCTCCATATGATTGTGGGTTAAAGACAGCTATATTAACTTATGAAGATACTCTCAAAGGAAATTCTGATACAGAGAGAGTAATGGCTGCCCAAGGTAATAATACATTTAAACAGAAGAGATGCTTCAAGTGTGGTGAACCAGGCCATTTTGCATCAAAATGCTACAAAGAAGGTGAATATAAAAGAGGAAACAACCTGTATAAACCTCAAAATGTCAAGAAATGGTGTGAATTACATAATTCAAGAACTCACAATACTAGTGAATGTAGAACAAAGAACCCCAGGAGGAGTAATAACTCAGTAAATTCTGCTAATAATACAAGTGAGCCACAAAACTTTGAATATTCTTTCCATATAACACACTCAAGGTTACGACCCGTCGAGGGGACCTCAGAGTCGTGTGACATTGGAAAACAAAATGTATCAGGCTTAGAAGCAGATGAAAGTTTGATCATGATTGACAGTGGTTGCACTACACAGAAATAAATGAACCAAAATTTGAGATTTGAAGAGTCCTTTGATCCACAAAACCATTACATTGAGTTGGCAGATGGCCAGCGGCAACAAGGAAATGTACAAGGAATCGGTGATGTCAAAGGTTTTATTCAAGATCGAAACAGCAGATCGAGAAGTGTTTTACTAAAAGATGCTCTATACATACCAGGATTTAAGCAGGACATCATGTCAGTATGGAAGACAGTTCAGAGTGGACACAGTATTACTTTTTCACCAAATGGTAGTACACTACCAAGGATGGCACAGTATTTGATATTGTTGAGAAAAATAAATTGTACTACTTACGTAGAGGTAAGC